TCGGTGAGAATTGAGACGGACTGCACGGACTTAGTAGACATGTCTACTAATCCGGAGGAATGGCCATCCTTCACAACAGAGATCGAGAGACTGAAGAGACTACAAGAGGACTTTGCGGATATGAGGCTTTCTCATATTCCTCGAAGTAGGAATGGTAGAGCGGATGCATTAGCGAAAGAGGCGAGAAGGAAAGGATCTATTTTTTCCCATATAGATCAGACCAGGCCAGACGGAGATGCTCCTAGGAGGATCGACTCGTCTGATCACCACTTGATCTAGCTTTAGATGGGCGGCGGACAAAAAAAAAAAAAAAAAAAAAAAAAAAAAAAATTTCTCATTTCTCTGTCATTGAATGTTGTATTCTCATTTTACAATTTCTCACATTAAGAATTCTCATCTCTCAGTCATTTAATGTTGTATTCCACTCTTTCGTTTCTTTTTATCTAAATGCGGCGGTAATTAATTAATTACAGTGTCCGGTTAATCCGGTTTAACAAAAAAACCGTAGCTCGTGTACTCAATCTCTTACACAAACACCAACAAACCGACGCATCTAACCGACGTATCTTTTAACTTCCAACTGTCTTCTATAACTTCCCATATTCTTCTCCACTACTCTCTCGCGCCCTATCCATGTATATATATATATATATACGTCAAGTTCTCTCACTCTGATCTCTTTATACTGTTCCCAGAGTAACACCTGAAAACCGGTTTATCTAAACCGGTTCCAATGGATAATTTACTCTGCGACGAGTCATGGCTCTCGGATCCTCTAACTCCAGAGCCTTTACCCCACTCCCGCTTTAACATTCACGATGGTCAAGTTGCGATGTCTCCGGGCATGGATGCAGCAACGGTAGAGGAAGCCATTTCTATAGATTTGGAGAAAGAATCATGTTTCAGTAATCATGGAGACAAGTTTGTTGAGTTTCTTGCTTCTAAGAAGTTAATCAATGCTAGGGTTGAGACAGTTCAATGGCTCATTCAGGTATTTTGGAAGATAGCCACATTTCTCGTTTTATCGAACCGTGATTATTCATATTTTACTAATGCCAAACATTCATGTTTGTGGGAAGTATTTACTGGAAAACTATTCATTCTAACGAGTAGTCTAATTAACATCAAGCAAATAACAAAATAAACTTAGATTCTGATAAACGGTATTTTTATTGATGTTATTGTTTTTTTCTCAGACTCGGAGTCGGCTTAATCTTTCATTTGAAACGCTTTTTTCTGCGGCAAATTGTTTTGATCGGTTTGTCTATGTGACTAGCTGCAACGTAAGTAAATGGATCAATAATACGTTAACAGTTGTATTAAACTGGATGAAGATAACGAAGAAAATAATATCAATATGCGTATAATTGCAGGAATGGAGTAAATGGATGGTGGAATTAGTCGCAGTAACCTCATTATCGGTCGCATCAAAATTTAACGAAGTTACTTCTCCTTCATTTCAAGAACTTCAGATGGAAGGGCTAGTTCATGTGTTTCATCAGAAGACCGTTCTTGAAATGGAACTCATTCTCTTGAAAGCTTTAGAATGGCGTGTTAACTCGGTCACGAGTTTATCTTTTTCGCAACTTCTGATGGCCAAAATCGGGATAGTAGAAGGAGACATAATGATGATCCAAATCACACAACATCTGCTAGATGACTTATGCGGTAAGAAGACTATATATTTATGTGCGATATTCATATTTATAATGTTACTTGTTGTAAAAGGAAGTATATAATTTAAAGTGATGCATTGATATTGAATCGTGAAATTTTATGCAGATTTGAAGATGGTTGAATATGCACCAAGTGTTGTGGCGGTTGCGGCTATGTGGATTGTCCTAGAAGAGAAAGTAGCTCAAGAAGAAAATCTTGGGAATATTATGAATCTTTTTGGACAAGATCACAAGGTATGATTATTTGTACGTCGTATAAGTTTAACAAATGGACTGGAATATGTTTTTAATAATTTGATTTAAGTGCAGGAGAGTATTGCGAAATGCGTCAATGTTATGAGATCTCGAAACGTTGAAAAGGGATGGGGAAGAAATGTAGGTGAAGTGAAGAGTGTTGGGAGTGTGTTGCAGAGAGGTGATGTGATGAACATGAATGATATTTATCACGGTGGAGATCTGTCTGCCATTTTTCCGATTTTACGCTCCGACGGAGTCAATAAGAAGAGAGATAGAGATTACTATGAAGACAAGATTGGTCCTGCAAAAAGAAGGACATTTGTTATGTCAGATTAATTATCACATTTATGGATAGAGATGGATGATAACTACAGTTTTTAAACAACAGAGAAAAATGTTTTTTTTACACAGATTACAGAAATAATGTCATGTATTGTTGAATATTGTATGACAAAAATGGTTAAATGATATTTGTTATTCATATTTTTTTTGGTTTTTTTATCTATGCTATTATTATTGTTTTATTTTTTTTGAATTGAATCTATGCTATTATTTGGGATGCTTTTTTGCAATGGATGTGGCATGGTAAAAGTAATAATGTTTAATATCATTTGTAATCTTAATGAATAATTACTTCTTTTAATGTAAAACAAACCTAACTTTATATTAAAAATAATTTTCAATAATTTGATAATTATCTAATAAAGTTTATATTTTGCAATAAAATCGTTATTAAACCTTAATGAATAATTATTTTAGTTAGAATATAATTAGCATAATTTATTATTAAATATTTGAAATATAAATAATATTTTTTTGATAGTATTTAAATTCGTAATATAGTATTTAAAAATATTTGTAAAATTATTAAACCTACATATATTGTAAACAAAACACCTAAGGGAATAATAATTTTTTTTAAGTTATCAGCACCACGCACGTAATTGAGTATGGAGAAAACACGTGGCAGAAAATGAATGGATGCAAGAAACAGATCAGTATATCCACAAACTCAGTTCCGACATGTGAAGATAAAGAAGGAAGGTCAAGAGATAAAGAAAGATTTATTGCAGAGAACAAGAAGAAGAAAAAGATGAGCTCGACGCCGTTATCTTCATCTCTCTTTCCATCTTCTCTTTCAACCTTGTCGTCTCATAACCATGGTCGGAACCGGAACTACTGTGTCAGTCGGAAGCAACAGTGTCTCCGTGTTCGAGCTGCAAAACTTCCTGAGGGGGTGAAATTCTATTCTTTTTTCTTTCCCCACATTTGATATATCTTAAAACAAACTGCTTACAGCGTTGGTAATATTAAAATCGTTTTGGTAGGTGATAGTGCCAAAAGTACAACCTAAATCTCAACCAGCGTTTCTGGGATTCACACAAACAGCTGAGATATGGAACTCTAGAGCTTGCATGATTGGTCTCATTGGCACTTTCATCGTCGAATTGGTGAGTTTTCTTTTTGCATTAACAATTTGGGACAAACTAATAAACTAAAGCTCAAACATTTTCGTTTTTTAAACAGATTCTGAACAAGGGAATACTTGAGTTGATCGGTGTAGAGATTGGGAAAGGCCTTGATCTTCCTCTGTAATCTGTCTGTTCTTTCCCAAACAACAACATTTCTTTATCAAATGTAAAACTCTTTAAGCTAAATCACACATCACAATGTAAAACTTTTGAGGTTCTTTCACAACTACTGTTAAGGCTTTTTAGAGAACACGAGTGGTGCGAGCATCTATGATGGCTACTTTACCTAATGGCTCGGAGAGAGTCAATGCCTCTGAAAGAGAGATACGTTTGTTTCTCCATGCAGATTCAGCCCATGCTTTCATCTTCTCTCCTTCGCTTTTTCTGTTCTCTTGAATCAGTAGTAGCTCTGCATACCCTCCTGCACCAATCACAAAATCCAAGTTTTTCTTAGCTAATCTCACAATAGTGAAAGAAAAAAAGAAAGAAACAGAGTTATAAAGCTTGTGTATCTTTCCCACCTCTTGCTAGAGCCATCACTTCCTGAGTTTCCATGTTTATTATCCCTGGAGACATCAGATTATATGGTGAGAACAATCATATTAATTTGGGGTTCAAGCATCTCATGTGAAGGTACCTTCTGAATCCAGAGGAGGCGCTTTCATTAGCTCCAATGCTCTTCTGAAGAGTCCCTGAGATGAAATAAAAAAGGTGTCAGATTAGAAAATTCTAATGTTTTGGAGTCTAAAGAAACTTGTTGTTTCTGACCTCTTGAATCATAATAGAACTCGAGCGTTCTTGCTTTGCTTTGTTCCGGTACATCAGAGCCACTCCAGTTAAAATCACGCCAACCTTGGGATGATTGTGTCCTGATCCGAATAAGCACAGAATCCATTAGGCTGGTGCTTTAATCAAAATGAATTAATGGACTACACATTACCGTAATGTTCCTCAGCGCTTGTCAACGCACTTGTCAGTGTTTCCTCCGCATCACCAAAACTTCTAACAAATACCAAAACAAAAAAGTTCTAATGATGTAACCATATTTTGATTCAAACTAGCGAGGACCTATATGCACAGAACTCAAAGCTTACCCAATGTGTGACTCGAGCTGCCCAAGTGCAAATGTGGCTGCCAATGAAACTGCTTTCAGATTCATATTACACGAACTCATGGATTCTTTGGTGTCAGACACTCCTTGAATTGCCTTCTGATACATCTCCTTTGCCATTTCAAAGCTTCCAGTGGCGTGCAAGAATTCACCATAAGAAAGTGCAATGTTACCTTTGCAGATCGCATGGTTCTCAAGTCCTCGAAACAAAGACTCGGCTGCACACACAAAAAAACATCTCATTAGGCTATACATAACTAAGGATATGTTGACTAAAAGACACAGAAAAGAGAAGTAAAGTTGAGGTGTTTTTTTCTACCCGACTCAATACTTCCTTTCACAAGCTCAGCGAGGCCTTTGATCGTTTTAGCTGTCACAGCCACATCCTGAAGATTCTCATGGCCACTCTCTCTAACCAGTTCCAGAAATTCATCAGCAACATTCAATGAAGCATCATCCTAAACAGGGAAAAAAATAATCAACTTTCTAACACAAACTCCATATGTAGTAGCAGTGTTGAGATATGAACCTGTCCTGACTGAATGAGCAGACCAACAAGAGCTTCCACAGCAACAACTGCACAACAAACACACAGTTCCAGACTCAAAAACAACCTTAAAAAGCACATATCCAAAAAAGAGTCAAGGTTTTGGAGAAAAACCTCTAATAGCCAAGGAAGAGAGTGTCAGACTCATGACTTGCTTGAGGCGTTCAATGGCCTCACTACTATTCCCACTGTTCAAACACAAGAAACCAAACACTTCAATAATCTTAAGCAAAAAAAACGGAAATGAGAGAGAGTAAAAGAGTAACAAAGATGAAACCTTTCGTATAAAAGATCAGACATAGCAAGCAAGACTATAGCTTTAGAGTCCTGAGAAACCTGATCATCGTTAGCTTGATTCCCAAGGCATTGCTCAAGCACTAACATCCCTTGAGCATAAGATTCATCTGCAAATTTTTCAAAATTCACCCATTGTCAAAACCCTAGGGTTTAAGCATTTTTTGAAAGTCCGATGATCATAAAAAAGAAAAAAACCTGATCTTTGAGACCTAGCGTGAGAAAGAGCGTAATTAACCATCTGAATAGCGACATGGTTCGCGTTTGGAACGCTGATTTCACCGTGAATCCATCTCAACGGCGTCGTGTATCTTACGAGACTGCTTCTGACGGGGATCGCGCGGCCACGAATCGTCGCAGCTGCAGCTGCTCTTGCACATTTGAAAGCAGAGTGAATCATATCGCTCGATTAACTTGTCTAGAAGAATGAGAGTGCGGTTCTCCTATTATAACGGGAGGGAGCTCTTCCTCGCCGTTTCTAGCGCGGCGGCCCATTTCAAAACCGGTTTTGCCAATGGTTGAACCGGTATAATTTGAGTTTGGTTTGATGATTAATTGGGTTGGTCCAATACACTTAAAAATCAATATAATTTGTTTTTTCAATAGAATTGTGTTACTGTTAAGTTTAATTATTTTTGTATATATTTTGGTCATGATTTTATAAAGTTTTTTTTTTGTGTGATTACATGACTAGTTTATTTTATCCAGTTATGTATCTCTTGCAATATAATTTATAGATCTTGCAAGATGCTTATCTACCAAATGCTGCAACCTCCCCACTATAAAGATGAACAAAGTCTCGTCTAGAGGCTAGTGACATTCTTGGCATCAGTCTGTCTCTCTACTACCTTTATAAGAACATGTAGAAAAAAGAGAGAGAGTGTAATGATTTGTTTTGTACAAAATTATATCCCATGTTTAAAAAGAAAGCAAATCCCCACATTGAAGTAATGCATATATGCTCTTTGCTGATTTTATCTACAAAGTGAAAAGGTCGGTGGCAAAAGTAATAAATGTCAGGAAATACACCATGAATATATATCTAGTAAGTAAAAAATATATACAGGATTTTTTAAAAAATGAAAATATACAAGAATTAAAAGACAAACAGCCAATTTACAAAAAAAAAAGTTTTAGATTAATTAAAAGTTTGAAGATAAAAATCTAGGACTAGTAATTTGCTATGGATTGAAGGATAAAATTTATGAATCTTTTCTACAATTAAAAAGCTGAGAGAAATATGAATCTTCTTCTTTTTCTTTTAATCCCTCCTTTAACCCATCCTTTTATTTGTTTTCTTATCCTTTCTTTAAGTCATTCTCTTTTTGCCAAGTTTTTTAAAGCTCGATATTATAAAGATACCCATATATTACAAGCAACACCTAAAAGACACCAATCCTATGGGTGGGCTTCTATAATGATAGGTATTAATTTGCTCAAAAGGGGTTCCCGTTTCATAATTGGTAATGGGGAATCGGTAAGACTATATGATGATCATTGGCTCCCTACTGATCCNATTCTCTTTTTGCCAAGTTTTTTAAAGCTCGATATTATAAAGATACCCATATATTACAAGCAACACCTAAAAGACACCAATCCTATGGGTGGGCTTCTATAATGATAGGTATTAATTTGCTCAAAAGGGGTTCCCGTTTCATAATTGGTAATGGGGAATCGGTAAGACTATATGATGATCATTGGCTCCCTACTGATCCTCCAAGATGTGCTGCTAGAATCACGGATCAGTCTAACCTCCTGGTTTCAGACATCATCATTTCTACAGCATCATCTCAACAGTGGAATATTGAGAAGGCACGTTTTTTGTTGAATGAGGAGGATTTCAATCTAATGCTTCAGATTTATCTCCCGCAGACGCCGATTGATGACTTTCTGGTTTGGCCTTTTACTACATCTGGGAACTACACAGTTAAAAGTGGTTACAAAAGAGAAATGATGGACTATCATCGGAACCGTCCAGATATACTTCCTCCTTCTGGAGATCCACAGTTGAAGAAACAAATATGGTCACTTCCTGTTCTTCCTAAACTAAAAATGTTTCTCTGGCGTCTCCTCTCTTTGGCAATTGGATCTAATACTCGTTTGAATACTCGAGGGGTTCGTATAGATAATATATGTCCCCGATGTTCAAACACTTCTGAAACTGTGAATCATTTGTTCTTCATCTGCCCTTTGTCCATCCAAACTTGGCGATTGAATCAAGTGACTTCAGGACTTCCTTCGATATTTTCGAATGACTTGGAGAGTAATATGAAATTATTATTTAGCTTACAATCCTTGACATCATTGACGATGGAACAGAAATTAACACCTTTCTGGATGCTCTGGAGAATATGGAAATCTAGAAACAATTTGATTTTCCAAAATAAGATTGTTACTCCACAACTTGATGCGGGGTATGCTACGGCAGAAGTTAGAGATTGGCTCGAGAGGACAATGAAGGATCATCCTCAACCTCAGACATGCTCTGTTCTCCAACGTCACTGGCAACCACCATCGTCTCATTTTCTTAAATGTAATTTTGATGCAGCCTATTATGCACAATCTTCTCTTGTTACTGCAGGATGGGTAATTAGAGATAGTAATGGAGTTGTTCGATATTGGGCAATGGCAAATATTGGTCATGCAGTCTCTCCTCTGGAAGCAGAATGCAAGGCATTACTGGCAACGGTTCAATGCGTTTTCAGCTTGGGATACAAGAATATCATTTTCGAAGGAGATTGTCAAGTATTAATCAAATCCTTACTTGGGCAACAAGTTGACTACAGTATTGTTACAATTTGTAACGATATCAAACAATGGAGTCGGCATCTTGGAGATGTTCTTTTCAGATTCACTCCGCGGAAAACAAATGAAGTAGCACATGCTTTAGCAAAGCACTGCAGTTCCAATTGTCTATTTACTTCTTCCTCAACTTATGTTCCATATTGGTTATCTGATGTACTTTGTAACGATTACATTACAAATCATTAATAAAGCTACTTTGTCGGAAAAAAAAAAAAAAAACCTTTAAACTTTATAGAAGGCTCACAATCAAGCCTCCCTAAATCTCTATATATTTTCTCTTCCCCACTAATCCCATGAAAGACTCAGTCTATAAAAGGTTAGCACTTGGCAGTTCCCCTATACAACAAACCCACTTCACCATTTTACACTCTTGCGACTCAAGTTTCCACTTCTTCCTTAACCACGTCCTTCTCCATTTCCTTTATTAACATTCTCTCCAAAAATTACCCTCAAAAGAGCAAACTTTAAAGAGTGAAAAGATCCCAACAAATACACAGAACAGAACAACAATGGCAAACAATGCATCTCTCTTCCTTATCTTTCTCACTGTCTCACCCTTCTTATTATCCTCCTTCATTGGTACGATTTATCTCTTAAAAATGGCGTCTTTACTGTTTTTAAAAATGTTTTTTTTCCTCTGAAAATTTCTGTAAAAATGGTATCTTTGCAGAGGGAGCGCAGCTTATACTAGTGAACAACTGTCAAGAGAGCATATGGCCGGGGATTCTCGGCGGCGGAGGCCAAATCACACCTAAAAACGGCGGCTTTCACATGGGAAGCGGCGAAGAGACAATCATAGACGTCCCAGACAAATGGTCCGGACGCATATGGGGCCGACAAGGCTGCATCTTCAACCAAAACGGCAAAGGCTCATGCCAAACCGGAGACTGCAACTCCGGCTCACTCACCTGCCAAGGAACCGGCGGTGTTCCTCCAGCAACCGTCGTGGAGATGACACTAGGCTCCACTTCCTCGCGGCTTCATTTCTACGACGTGAGTTTAGTAGACGGGTTCAACCTCCCCGTGTCGATGAAACCTATAGGAGGAGGAGTGGGGTGCGGCGTGGCGGCTTGTGAAGTTGATTTGAATGTTTGTTGTCCTTCGGCGTTGGAAGTTAAGAGAGATGGGAGAGTGGTGGGGTGTAAGAGCGCTTGCTTGGCGATGCAGTCTGCGAAGTATTGTTGCACGGGTGAATATGCGAATCCTAAGGCTTGTAAGCCGACGCTGTTCGCGAATTTGTTTAAAGCGATTTGTCCGAAAGCTTATAGCTATGCGTTTGATGATTCTAGTAGTTTGAATAAGTGTAGAGCTTCTCGTTATGTTATTACTTTCTGTCCTCCTAAGTGAGAGGGGGTTTGTAAATGGATTTATGCAAGTTGCTTTGATTTGGTATTGTATGACTTTCTGTCCTCATACACTCAAAATGAAACAAACATGTTAAGCTAAGCGACAAAGAAAAGACATTAGGAGAAAACTAAAAGGTCAACATAGTCAGAAAAGATTCACCATTAGCCATATCAATAGATCCAACATGATCTTCCAACTCATCCAACAAATCTACCTCAAAAAACCCCCCATAACTCTTGTTTTAGACCTTTGTATTTCCATGATTTACAACAAGTTTTTTTACATATGATTACAACCGGAAAACCCTAATGTACACAAACCCCAAACATTTGAATGCTACATTTCTTCATGGAGCTTTATTACATAACCAACAAAACCCAAAACATAAAAACTACAATGAACTTCGTACCTAAGCTGGCGAGTAGGACAAGTACCACCATCGGCGTGAGAGAGACTCCATTTAAGCAGTCCGTCCCAGTTAGGTCCGTCTTCTTTCGCCCGCCATTGAAGCAGCCAAAGAGACTGAAAAGACTGTGTAACACTGACGTATTCCAGCGATATAAATGGGTTAAATAGGCCCAATAGTCAGCTCAAAATATCTTGACGGGGCCTTCTCAATTTCCTTTGGGTGCTTCTAACTAGGCCAAGAAACCTTTGATTTAGTTTGCTTGCGCTGTACGAAACCGTTAGGCCTAACTTATTCCCCTGCCTCTGTTATCTCAAAATCTCAAAAGGAACGGTTAACCAACACTGACGTAAGATACAAGTTTCCATTTTCTTACTTGGTTTTAGTTTTTATAGTACAGAGAAGGTTTTGATTAATTCTATTGATATTGGAAACCCAAACTGACTCATATTTTATTATTTACGGTTCAATATTATTGACTGCACGCATGACAACGCATATATAATGTAACCACTCCCCAATTTCCGTTTCATGTGCAATTCTAAATTAAAATAACCTCGTATGAAACGTTTTTACTTAGATTACTTTATTTTTAGATGAGTCCCCTGCAATAATTGACCGTAACCGTTTGTATAATTCCATTAATGATGAATAGATCACATTTCACAAATAATAATTCTATATGAACACACGGCGGAGTGGAATGGTCGTGTCAATATTATAATCCCTTTTTCTGCGACTTTTGCTTCCACTCCGTGGCCATCATGCACACTTTCTCTGTAAAATAATAAGAATTTGACAACAAATTAAAATGTTTGGGTTAAAAGTCAGTTATTTAAGTTTGACAAATGTTGTAAAGTCACTCGTAAACTGTACCTTAACATAATCTCGTCTCGCCACATATGATGATGTGGCCTAACATAGTCGTATAGCACCAAACTCCCGTTAGTGGATTCTAAAAATGTCACTGTGGTGTTCAAAGGCTACTTGTGTCACTTTCTCATTTATAGAAGATTTGCATTTACTGATTGGATCCAATTATAAGTAACACTGAGTCATAGACAAAGAGAAACACGTCTCCATGCACCCTCTTAAATGATTTCTTTAAAAAATATATAAAGAAAAATAAGATTGTGAAAATTATCACAGATTTGAGTATATATAAGAGTGCACTTCCACCTCAGGTTCGTAGTACTCTCTTTTTCTCCGTCTCTTCATTGGTTTTCGTGACCGAGACATACAAAAAGAAGATGAAGCAAGAAGAGACATTCCAGCAAGAAGAAAGGGAAGATTTGTATCACACAGATGATGATGAGGAGGACGAAGAAAGCCAAGCCCTTAGCTCCGTTCCGTCCACTCCTTTATCTCGAAACAACTCCAATAACGATGCCGTTTCATGGCCTCGGAGTTATCGGTTAGTCATAAATATTGCTCTGATTTTGTTAGAGATCTAAGAAAAATCTTATTTATTTAATTTTAAAATTTTCTTTTATTGGCTTTATTTTCAGTCAATCTATGGACTTGTTGACTGGAGTTACACCTCCTATTACCACAAATCTTGTCTCTTCATTTCGCCAGAGGAGACAAATCTCTGCTTGTGGTTCATTTACTTCTTCCTCAAGCAAACAATTACCTCTCATCGACAAAGAGAAAGATGATACCCAAAACTCTCTAGTAACATCCATCAAATCGTTTATTGATTCTCACCTCAAGCTCTCAGTCCCGGAGGATCTTTCTTTTTCCCAAGAAAACCGCAAGAGCACTTTATCCCAATCCGTTTTAAACGGTAGGAGTGCATGACTTTTACTTGGGTCTTTTAGAGTTTCTGTTAGTGTAGGAAAATAATCAACTTTTGTCTGTTGCAGGAGTCAATGTTCTATGTGGAGGAGCTTTACTTACAATGCCTTATGCATTAAAAGAAGGAGGATGGTTAGGGCTTCTCATACTCTTCTCCTTTGGCATGACCACTTTCTACACAGGGATTCTCCTCAAGAGATGCCTCCAGAATTCACCTGGAATCCTCACTTACCCTGACATTGGTCAAGCTGCATTCGGCATCACTGGACGCATCCTCCTCTCTGTAAGCTATATTTAACCTCACTCTCTCCTTCTTATATATCAGATCAACATAGATTTGTGTATGATCTAATTAATACATTTTATTCCGAATTACATTTCAGATATTTCTCTACGCGGACTTATACGTAAGTACCAAACTCTCTTTTATTAGTATGGAATAGTCTTTAGTCCAATAAAAACAAAGTTATTTTGATTGTATCTAATTTAAACTATTTTTTTTCTTGAATATGTAGGCAACTAGTGTGGAATACATAATCATGATGAGTGATAATTTGTCAGGGATGTTTCCAAATACCTCCTTATACATCACTGGAATATCTCTAAACTCTAATCAAGTTTTCGCCATTACCACCACTCTTATCGTTCTTCCCACTGTTTGGCTTAGAGACCTTAGCTTATTGTCCTATATCTCAGGTTCCTCTCCTCAATTAACTATTATCTCGAAAATGGTTTGATCTATTTTGTTCTAACTTCTAAGAGTGACTGAGTGAGTGACTTTTCCTTCATTTTTTATTTTATTTCTTAATTAGCTGGAGGGGTCTTTTCTTCAATCTTGCTTGCACTCTGCCTCTTTTGGGTCGGATCAGTAGGCGGAGTTGGATTTCAACATCAAGGACAAGTTCTTAATTTAACTAACTTACCTGTCGCCATAGGAATCTATGGGTTTGGTTTTGGGGGTCACGCTGTTTTCCCTAACATTTACACATCCATGAAAGAGCCTTCCAAGTTTCCAGTGGTGCTTCTCATGAGGTTTAAAATAACCATTGCTTGTATTACAAGAAATCTCTAGTTAGGCCTTATCTCCATCCCTTGTGATCTCATGACATTATTCATTTTGTGTTTATGCAGTTTTGGGTTCTGCACTCTGTTTTACATTGCTATATCGGTTTGTGGATACACGATGTTTGGTGAGGCGATACAATCACAGTTCACTTTGAACATGCCTCAACACTTCACCTCATCTAAAATCGCGATTTGGACAGCAGTAAGACAAAGACAAAACTCATATCATCTTATTTTTTTTTTCTTCTGAATTGATTTCAAATTGTTATTATAATTAGGTTATTACGCCAATGACAAAATACCCATTAACGCTCACTCCAGTCTTGCTAAGCCTAGAAGAACTCTTACCTTCTTCATCAAGAAAGATGAGATCCAAAGGTGTCTCTATTCTTATCAGAACCATCGTGGTTCTCTCTACTTTGGTCGTGGCACTCACAGTCCCCTTCTTCGGTACTCTTTCCCTCTATTTCTCACTTCTTCATAACCTAACTTCTTGCTCAAGAAACCATTTATAGAAAAAAAATACCAGCCTATTAATTACTGGAATAATGTTAACTGCAGCTACTGTCGCTGCTCTGATCGGATCTTTCGTCGCAATGCTTATTGTACGTCTCTCCAATAACAAATAAATTCATTTGAAATGCTACGATGAAAACAGTTTTCTTGATGACTTTGGTTTTTTCGATTTCTCAGGCGGTAATATTCCCGTGTCTCTGTTATCTAAAGATTATGAAGGGTAAATTAACTAACTTTCAGGTAAGAATATAATTCTATATCCTCAAATTGTTTTATTTATTTATGTTTTCATAGTCAATGGTTAACAAACACATTAAATTATCGCATCACTTTGATTGAAAAGAGTTTTGATCTTCAGATTGGGATTTGTATTTTCATCATCATCGTCGGCGTTGTGAGCGGTTGCTGCGGAACTTACTCTGCTATCGTCAGATTAATCGGCGAAATGAACTGACTGGTTTTGCGGGTATAAGGAGTACATTCTTTCTTGAGAAAATTTCACACAAGTTTTAAAAATAAAAATAAAAGCTACTAGTTTTGTTTCACCCAAGTTTTATTTTACAATGTCGCAGCTTAAGGTATTTATGGATTATATAATATATATTACGTTCGGGATTTATATATAGTGCTGGTCAAAACCATAATCAGGTCGATGTGATATATCTCCAAAAACCATATGCTTATCTAAATTACTTGACAAGTGACATTTGAGTAGATTATAAGAACGATGGACACGTCAAAACTTGCAGTTATCATACGCAAATACTTTCTCGAAATTCTATCTTATATGCTAATGATTGAACCAGATGAATGGTAGTTTCTCTTCTTCCGAGTTGAATATCAACTTCAGCACAAGACACACGACTACACTTATGATTCAGCATGAGGCCTTAAACCATTCCAAGCAGGTTCTTGTACAATAATACAAACTCGGACTTTTGTAATATTTTAGTGATAAAAAACAGAGGGGGAAAAAATCATATACGATGTCTATAAACTACAAAGTCAATCATGCCAAGAGTTAAGTTCCGGTAGAACATGAAAAATGTCAAATGCTGAAAATGTACGTCGAGATAGTTAAGCGTATGCGTATCAAATAAAATTGAATGTGAAGCAACAAACAATTAAATAAATAGTTTCATGTTACTATGTTCTTAATCATGTTTTCTAACCATTAATACCGGTCACCGACTAGTTGATCATTTGATCTGTACGCAATACTAATAATTATGCATGTATCAACTTACAACACACATTTTTCTTTGATGAAACTCACATACAATAATATTTTTCTAACAAACTCAAAGTCGACCGCTGTTTAAATTAATGTAACGGTCTCGATTGTACATAGGGAAAACACTAAACTAATTTTGGTTGTCAAGTTGTACGGACAAAGTGAGATCTAAGATCATGTTTATTGTAGGTCCTTTAAGTTGGGTCTTTTAGTATACGGTCCCTTAAATTTTAACTAAAAAAATTAAATAACATTCCTTAAATAAGAGATTTAAGAGACATCTCTTAGTTTTTTAGTTAAAAACTAAGAGATTGTACGCTAGAAGACCCAACTTTACGGACCTTTAATAAACATGTTCTAAGTATTTATTTGCTTCCAAACTTACCCCAAGAAATATTAAATGCACATGCATTTCTCTTTACTAATTTCTCATAAACTATTAGGTAAACGGACTAACACTTAGGCTTTGACTGGTGACCACCAAAGGAATAATAGGAACAACGAGGAAATGAATGAAGAGGAACAAAATAATAGGAACACTTGTTCCATATTGTTCCTCCCCGGATTTGATAAGGAATGGTTTTGTTCTTTCATTCCTTAAATTAAAAGGAATGAGAAGGAATATTGAAGAATAATTATTCCTTATAAATGGTGTCAAATTTAAGGAATTGAGAGGAATTAACTATTATGATTCCTTATAAATGGTGTCAAATTTGAGGAATAAAGAGGAATTAACTATTCCCACACATTCCTTTGATCACCAGTTAAAGCCTTAGTAATTAACAACATGGATTTAAAAAAATTTAAAACGCACATGTAGTAACAAGTTATTAAGTGTCGTCTAATGCGATAGATGATTAGTTTTTGGTATAGGACTATAGGGTGAAATTACAGATTTACATTTAATACATACGATCTATGTGTAGACAATGTAACTAGAATACAGTTTGTTAAATCGCCAAATATGAACTAAGTACATAGTTACGTTCCTTGCGATCAATTATTTATAGAACTAAGCAAATATGAACTATTGGCAATAAAGGTAGGCACATGGATATAGTGGTCGAATATTTTAAATTTATAAAAAGTTATATGATATATATATATATATATATATATATATATATATATATGAAGAGCTTCGAAATTGTATGGATTGAGAAAAAATAATTTAGCTGTCAATATATAACTCGTTTCAGTATACATATGTAATCTTCTTTTCTTTTTTTTCTTTATGCAGTCCTGTATTAGAATGAATTTAAATTATACATCACATTTTGAACAAACATGCATACATATGTTTTGTAGAGTTTACAACATGCATACTGGCTTCCTTACAACCGACGAACACATTAATACAACATACGTATTTTCCTTATTACCTTTTCTGACGATACAACATGCATAAATATTGGATCGGATCGGTGTGTTTAATTCATGTGGGATTTCGAATTTGTCACACAACTTGCAAATTGACCAAAGAAAAATGCAGCAGGTGCCCATGTGCGCACCATGTGTCTATGCTATCATTTGGGTTTATGTATACTAAAAAAATATTATTAACTGACTAACAATGAATACATAATGTTGCATTTTAGTGATATTTGGTATTTATTGTAAATACCAAAATAACAATAATATCAACGGACTATCGATGTATTCTTATTAGTCGACGTTACTGGTTAGATATCACAAAATAACAATGAGATTAATTTGAGACCTGAAAACAATCACCAAAAAATAAAATGACATTTTACGAAATAGTTGTCACTTTAGCGAATTCGCCATATTATATACCACATTTGGTCAAGTAATTTGACGCAGTTCTGTGCCTTTGGTTTTCAAAAAAACAAAAGTATATATACAATTGATTAGTTAATCAGTTAAGGTCAGTCTGACGCAGTTCTATCCCCTTTTGGCTAATACGGCGCGCTACCATTCCCGATGAAACTACAATTTTAGCAAAATATTTCAAGTTACTTTTCAGACTTGAGTCCGTAACATTTTTGTAAACCTACTGCGATATACTCTTTCTATTTCAAAATAATACATGTTTTTTTAAGTTTTTCACATTTATTAAAAAATATTAAAACTTAATTATTAATGCATAATTTTTTGTACTTTTATATTTTCCATATTTTTTAACTAATAAAATTTCAAGAAGTGTAATTAATGATTTTAAAATTTAAAATTTAACTATTAGTTGATAAAAAATGTATTAAAAATCTTAAAGATACATCTTTTTGAAACATAATTTTTTTTAGAATAATTTTTTTTGAAACAGAGAGAATATAAATAATATAAAAGTTGATAGGGTCAAACATTTTTTTGTTATTGCTTTATAGAAAATCAAACTTAAATGAGGAATCACATATTATTAGTTTTTCCTTTGATAGATAGTAATAAAAAACCTTTAAAATTACTCTAAATTAGAATAAAATATATTATACCGTTACCGTACCTCTTTTTGCCCTCTCCCTTCGTATAAGTAGCCTTCCCACCTTTGTCCTCTCACACAATACTCCTCTTTCTCTGCCACACACTTAAAAACCATTTCTATACTTAAGAAAAGAATGGCGGCGAAAGTAGTGACAGCAACAGCGATTATGGTGGTTTATGCACTGACGGCGACCATAGCGAACGCTAAAATACCAGGAGTTTACACCGGAGGTCCCTGGGTCAACGCACACGCCACCTTCTACGGTGAAGCTGACGCTTCTGGCACTATGGGTACACTCACTCTCACACCTCATTTTTTTATGTTAGGCACAAAGTTTTCTTTTATTTAATTTTTTTGTTACTGAGGGCACAAAGTTTTCAAACTAGCAATTTCATCCCCTTTCTTTACGTAGGTAGACATTTTTTTTGTAGAAAATTACTCTCTTATTTTATTCATTGTATCCGTAGAGTTCTCTATTATTTCTGCAGATCCTCTTATTTTTGTTAGAAATCATATTCTTTTTTTTTTTAGAAATCATATTCTTACATATTAAAGATCTGCAAATACGACATTTTTATATTTAAACCACGTTCTTTAGCACGTACTATTAACTGAATAGTATTTTAATAACGGTTTGTAATTGTTGTATAGGTGGTGCGTGCGGGTATGGAAATTTGTATAGCCAAGGTTACGGTGTGAACACGGCGGCTTTAAGCACGGCCTTATTCAACAATGGTTTGAGCTGTGGGGCTTGCTTTGAGCTCAAATGTGTCAATGATCCAGGCTGGTGTCTTCCCGGAAACCCATCAATCCTTATCACTGCCACTAACTTCTGCCCACCTAACTTCGCCCAAGCTAGCGACAATGGTGGTTGGTGTAACCCACCTCGTGAGCACTTTGATCTCGCCATGCCTATGTTTCTATCCATCGCTAAGTATAAGGCCGGTATCGTCCCTGTGTCTTACCGCAGGTAGATCTCCACTCTGTTTTCTTCTCTCTTTTTCCTTTGTTTATTTTTAATTAGGATCCCGAATCTAAGAATCTGTGATCTTGAAGATTTTCAGAGCCTTGGCACGTTCACTCTATTCTTTATTCCATCTTTTCTTATTTTCCCAAGAAAGTTGCTAAGCTTTTTCTTTACTTTTTTCTTGAGAACCAAACAAATGTTTTTCTATTAAGGTACTGTTTTAGTTGAGTTTATGCAATCACCTTTCCTGTCTTTTAGTCCTTTTAAAGCCATATATATAGCCCTTTTTTTTTTAGCATGACTTTGTTAAATAATCTCTAGGGGGACTCAGTAATTTACACTTCTCGACCCTTCGTGTATTTCACAGCACCCCATTCATTTGTCGGTCATCCACATAACCTTAAACAGTCCGGTCATCAAAACATATATAATCTCATTTCCTTTCATGAAAATGCCTAAAATTATTAAAAATATTTAGTGTTTATTTAATAAGTATATATATACTCTATTAGTTTTTTTTATTATATCGATATAAATAACAAAAACAAGTCATGAAAGTTTCTATACATATTTAATGTCAGTATATATACTCCATCTTTTCTTATTTTCCCAAGAAAGTTGCTAAGCTCCATCTTTACTTTTTTAACAAGTAATATTTTTTTGGCGGTGTTGCAGGATCCCATGTAGAAAGAAGGGAGGTATGAGATTCACGATCAATGGATCAAAGTACTTCAACTTGGTGCTGGTCACTAACGTAGCCGGAGCCGGGAACGTCCAGATGGTGAGTGTGAAAGGAAGCAACACAGGTTGGTTAGGTCTTAGCCGTAATTGGGGACAAAACTGGCAATCCAACGCTATTCTTGTCGGCCAGTCTCTTTCTTTCCGAGTCAAAACGTCCGATGGCCGAAGCTCCACCTCCAACAACATCGTTCCGAGTAACTGGCAATTTGGTCAGACTTTCTCCGGCAAGAATTTCCGCGTCTGATTTTTAGAAAATAAGCATAACTCTGCGGAAGACATATTGAAGATTTTCTAATATATATTTACGTGTCTTTTAAATTAAGTTACGGTTTGGAATTGGGGTTTTACCATATATTCCCTTATTTTCTCAGGGAAAGTATTGGGGGTGCTTGTTTTGGAAGTAAGGGTTTTACTTCAAAACGTTTAGGCTCAGTTCTTTTTTTTTTGGGTGTGTTGTGTCCTGTTTAGTTATGTAGAGAGGCTGAAGCGGCTTCAAAAAGAAAGGGTTATAAGGAAAATGTTGCCCGCAGCTCTCCTTTACGCTCAGATTGTATTAAACTATATATATGATCATATCAAGAAACTTGGATTTATATAAATTGATTTGATAGTTATCTATGTGCTAAGTTTTAATGTATTGATGTCGTGTATGGATTGCTTATGTTACGTTTGTATTTGTGTTGGAATCTGTTTGTTCCTTCTAACTTTCTAAAGCGTTTTAAAAAAATATTCGAACTTCATGTTTGTTTATATAATTTGAGTATCATCCATTTTATTCACCTTTGAATCAAACCGTTCATACATTTACTACGAAATTATATATAGAAGAACAAATATCCTACAACGTCACTATACTCTAAGATCAGTCAAACCCAAAACACACGGAATATATAGATTTATACGGTTTAGAATTCCGGGATATACGGTGTACGGGTACCATACGTATTTTAGCATGTACTTATGTGAGAGGTGATGCATTAAGGAAGCTAGGATTCATGTGATGTGATGTAAATGCATTACACCATCGTCATGTGCAATCTGCGATCACGATTTATCAGAGGAAAAAAAAACAAAAAGTAGTATAAGATATTGAATCAGATTTTATAGAATCTTATCTTATATTCTGATGATTTAGTAGATGGACCAACCAATGTATCATGCCGTCTTAATCGATAGATATTGTATTACATTATATTGTTGATTTTTTTTCATGACAATGTTTCATATGGTAAAATCTAGATGCATCCGATTTATAGCATCAGCCAGTGATGTAATAACAACGGCTTTAGTTTGTCTGGTCTTTTCCTTCTCACAATTAGGTATTTGTTAGTTACTTGCATAATTTCAGTTTGCAAATGTACATTTTAGATGAATACCACACAAAATAGGTACAAATCACAAAATCATGACCGACCTAGCTATAGTCGTAATTATCTTTTGCGAATCAAGAAACCAAAAAAGTAGTTTGGGTAGCTTAGCTCTGTATGTGGCTGGTCGAGATGGACAAGTCTCATCTCAAGTACTGATGCTCATCGTCAATATAAATCCGAATAATATATCGTTTTTTTTCTCACTTTTAGTACGTTCCAATGTCCTTTAAGCAGCAATCCGTGTGGTCTTTGTCTATTTGGTCGGTTTACCTGAGTGAGCGTAAAAAAAGAAGAAGAAAAGATAGAGAGATTAAAGATGGTGGAGAGCATAAATCCTCCATTATCTCATCGTAAACGCATCAATTCTCTTCGGCACCAAAGAACAAAGAAAACACAATTGACGAACGTAAGAAAATCACCGATTAACTTCAAATATGACATCTTATTTGTCTGCTGCGTCGATTCCCAATTTTTTCTTTAACAAAGAAATTAAAGATTGATTTACTTATGATAGGAATGTCATGACTCATGACCAAACATGTATACAAAACGTAATAAAATATATGCTCGGTTCGGCTAAGAGAGAATTCTGATTTATAGAAGTGAACGGTCTTGTTTAGCATAGTTTAGGTTTGGTGAGAAGTAATTGGTAGTGGCTTTTCTTCATGTCTGTATATGGTATAACTTGGTACGTAATCCTCATCCTTTAAAACCAAAAACTAATAAAATTCTATAACCAGGGGCCGTGCTTATGCTATATTTAAATTCATCTCAGAATAACAAACATGTTACAAAAACATGAAATATTATTCGTGGTTAAATGAAAAAAAATAGAAATTATTATTATGACTCCATTAGAGTCTCTGGCATGCGCCTATCTCAGAACTCTGTTTGAGCTTAAAACGAAATGATCTTCACCGCCTGCAATGGTAGAGTGAAGTCTGCCGGCAGCCCAGCCATTGTTGAGCATCCGAGCTGGATCACCGGTGACACGGCTTTCTTCAGCACGCCATTCGAATTCAGGAAGCCCATTGGCTTTTCTTTGTTTCCTTGTCTTCCTCTCCTCATCTCTTTCTTTCCTCAGCCAGCTCTCAACTGTTCTCATCAACGACTTCTTGCTTGTTTCCTTCACTTTATCCATTGGCATTGCTAGTTGCAACTTCCCATTTGCTACATACACCTACAACAAGGGGAGATGCTCTTTAGTAGTATAGGAGCAAAACAGAGAGAGACTGTGTGATTTTATATTTACAATGTGTGTAGGCCAATCCTCAAGGCCATCGAATATATGAGTTGCATAGATAATGGTTGCTCCTCTTTCTTGGCATTCCTTTCTCAGGAAAGTCAAAAGGTCGGCTCTTGCAAGAACGTCAAGATCAACAGTTATTTCATCCAAAAGAAGAACCTGTAGATGATCCAAGAAACAGAATATAAAAAGGTTTCTTAATCATTATTTCAAACACACATATAAGTGTTTCATACCTTGAAAGGCTTGAGGAGTCCCATACAAATCTGGACGCGCCTTCTTTGGCCATCAGAGACCTTGTGCAATCTCCATGAGATATCAATATCCAACACCTGAACCAACCAACCAACCAACCAACCAACCACAGTTAGATCAAAACAGAGAGGTGAAGAATTACATGAATTTGATTTAAAAAATAAAACAGAACATATACTTGAAATGCTCAAGTGTTATGCTTAGATCATCAGACCACATGTTCAAGTTGCTATCATTTCCAACAAATACTTCTAATATATGTTTGAATCCTTGCCCAAATTTAGGAAAAAAAACAGATGCACTAGAGAAGCTTTTCTAGTAACTAACCTTGATCAACTCAGCCCTTCTCTGAGGATCGATTCCCGCCACTCCAAATATCATTTTCTCAGCAGAAATGTCCATTTGAATCGGAACTTCAAATCCTGCAAACGCCACGTCACGCCTCCACTGGAAAATAAAAACAGAGGAAAGAAAGCAATGTTCTCAGTGAAAACATATCCCCAATCACCATTTTTAAATTCAAATCAAAATACTGAAACTTTTGTGACGAACCTCGCCGCCGAGATAGCAGAGATCACCAGAAGAAGTCAAACCGGTGTCGTGAAACGCAGATCGACCAAGAACCCTAACCATGTGCGGCTCCACCATGTGTTTCCCTCCCAATATCTTCAGTATCGTCGTCTTCCCTGTTTTTTTTCTTAATCAAAATTAGTCAAATTCTAAAGATAAAAGAATTTCAATTTATTTGAAGAGATGACCTACCGGCGCCATTAGATCCGACGAGGAGACAACGATCGCTCGAATTGAGCTTCACAGAGAAATCTTCGATTAGTGGTTTCGATCCCGGAGGTGGATGACCGTCGATTCCAGGATACGTGAAGCGCAATCCTGAGATCTCAACCGTTGAATTTTGCTCCGCCATTTGTTACTACTTTCCTTTGCTCTCTCTTTCTCTGCTTTTGTAATACTTTTCTTCAAAAGTTCGGTAGTTCGTTGTGTGAGTGAGAAACCGACACCGTTTTTGGTTCACATAGCTCACGTGGCGCTCTGTGAGACGTTAACAATAGTATTTTTTTTCTCACTGGGAAAGAAAGTCGACGTGGCTCAACTAGAGACCGGTTTAATCGAAACGACATCATTTTAGGAAAAGAAAAGTTCATTTGATTTCCTCCGAGATCTGTAGTAGTTCTTCATCGTCGGTCTCAGATTTCTGGGTTTAGGATCTCTTTTGAATAATTTGGTAAAACATGGCAGCGATTTACAGTCTTTACATAATCAACAAATCTGGTGGTTTGATTTTCTACAAGGTATTATCATCTTTCCCTTCTTCTCCATGATCTCGCACCTGTACTAAGATCTTGAGAATGATGATCCAATTGATGCTAGTTTCGCCGGATTCATCGATGTTAGTTGATGGATAGACAAAAAATAGAAGCTTTGGAGATAATTAGGTGTAGAAGAAGCTGTGATTTAGCTAATTACTATAGGGTTTGTGAATATCTGCTAAAAGACTTTGACTTTGATTTGCTTGCTTTGATTTGGTTCTCACGAGAATCATTTAAGAAGCAAATATGGACACTGGAATCTAAATTAGACAGATCTTAACTCAGAGACTGCTATGTTTTGGATTTGATTTATGATCTGTTCTGTGTTGTGTGTGTTGGTTGGTTTTGGGGAAGTTCAGGATTGTGGAACAAAGGGAAGGATGGATACGAATGATAGCTTGAGGGTAGCTAGTTTATGGCACTCTATGCACGCCATTTCTCAGCAGCTTTCTCCTGTTAATGGCTGTTCTGGCATCGAACTTCTCCAAGCCGATACCTTTGATCTCCATTGCTTCCAGTCTCTTCCAGGTACGTATATTATCACATCTGCTTTCCTTTTATGTCTTCTTCTTTCTCTTGTTTGTTGATTCTTGCCTTCTCTTATACCTCAGGAACCAAGTTCTTTGTGGTTTGTGAACCTGGAACTCCTCACATGGAGAGCCTCCTTAGATACATTTATGAACTCTACACTGACTACGTCTTGAAGAACCCTTTCTATGAGATTGAGATGCCTATTCGTTGCGAGCTTTTCGACATCAACCTTTCTCAAGCTGTTCAGTCTGACCGCGTTGCCTTGTTAGGACGATGACCATAAGATTGATCATCTCCCTGGCTCTCATATCTTTGCCTTTTTTTTGTTTTTGTTTGTTTCCTCTAGTCTTCTTATGCGGAGAACATTTTGTATGTGAAAACACTTTAACTATTGCAACAAAACCTTCATTTTTTTTTTTGTGAAGCAAGAATATCCAAGTTCATAACTCTAAGTTTGTTTCTTCTCTCTACCTTGCACTAAGAGACCCTTGTTTCTATGAAACAGCACAACACCTAAGCAGACATAAGGTTAAAGAGTATATACATCTCTAAATCCCGGTAAAGATTGTTACATGATTGATGGCCTAGGATAGTTCACAGCTTGCGGAGACTTGTTGTTGTTGAGATTATCACTGCTAGGTTGAAGATTCTGCTCCTCCTCTTTTGGTGTTTCCTTCTGGACATGAAGTTCTTCAAGTGTCTTGACGACATCGTTCATGGTCGGTCTAATCTTGGCATCCATGGATATGCAATCGAGAGCAAGAAGTGCAATTTTTAAAGCTCGGGTAAGCGAGTATTGACCTTGGAGACGAGGATCCATCACTCGGAGAAGCCTTCTTTTGTTTACTAAGTAAGGTTTTGCCCAGTCCACTAGATTGTGTTCTCCCACCGGCTGGTTCCTGTCAATTGCTCGTCTTCCTGATAACAACTCCAGTAACACCACCCCAAAACTGTACACATCACTCTTTGCCGATAAATGACCTTTCAAAATTTGACAGACACATCAGAGGTTGTCAGAAAACGCAACAACAGAAGATGCATATGTATACAGACATACCGGTAGATAGATACTCTGGAGCAGCGTATCCTTGAGTTCCCATGATTCTGGTTGAGACATGGCTCTTGTCACCCATTGGACCATCTCTAGCCAAGCCGAAATCCGAAAGTTTTGCCCTGTAGTTCTGCAGATACATGGAAACAGTAGAGAGATAAACTTCTCTGTCTGCATCAAAAACTAAAGCTACATGCAGAGTATCAATCATGCGTCATACCGAATCTAGCAAGATGTTGGATGCTTTGACGTCTCGGTATATAACCTGGGGTTGAGCATTGTGAAGAAAAGCGAGTCCTCTAGCTGCACCAAGAGCCATTCGAACCCGTGTGTTCCATGGTAGTGGCTGATAGAATGTTCCTCCTGTTTTTGAGAAATCAGATAAAAAGATTATCAGTCTCTCTGTTATGAGCTTCTTACTCTTTGAGATAGCTGAACTTACGTCTGAATAAGTGATTCTCAAGACTACCACGAGGCATGAACTCGTAAACAAGAAGCCTCTGCTCTTCTTCTAAGCAGTATCCAATCAGTTTCACTAGGTTGGGATGATTCAGCTGACCTAAATAGTTGATCTCAGCCTGTTTTTCACAGTGAACCAAAAACCAATAAAAAGGTTTTAAAAAAGAGGTGGCATGAGATGAGAAGTTTGGAAGGAAAGGTGACTAACCAGCCATTCACGATGACCTTGAAGGCCTTCTTGGTTAAGTTTTTTCACTGCAATGACAATCCCAGTCCCTGGTTTACAAGGAGCCAAGGAAGTCTCATCGATCCATCCTTTGAAAACGCAACCAAAGCCACCTTCACCAACCACACTATCAGGCCTGAAGCTCCTAGTTGCAGACTTGAGTTCGCTGAGGGTAAAGCTCTTGAGATTAGCATTTTGCAAGATCTCGCCTTCTGTTCGAGGCACATGAGAGAAAGAAGTACTCGAGGATCCCTTGCTCCCATCTCTACTCAAGAATCTCGAACTTAGCCCTACAAAAAATTCTTCTCTCAGAACATTTCAACCATACACAAAAGAACTTCACATTTTCACAAGCCATTGCATTCTCTAGAAAGGTTAAGAAAACAGCTTAAATCTAAGGTTACTAAAAAAAGACAACTCTTCATAAAGTGACAGCCATTTCTACTTAGACAACTCCTCTTACTAATAATGGAAACATATATCTTTCAAAACTGAAAACACTATCTTTTAATTAAATCTAAGACTTTCTAATTCAGGACAAAGCAAGTATGAAAGAACCACACCAATCATGGAAATCTATCACCTTGTTCAGATTTAATTGTAATAATTATAAGATAACAGGAAAGAAATTGAGCAAAGAGACTAACATGTACTGGAAGCAATATCTGTTTTGATCCGATTGCTGAAACACGCTCCCATTTAAACACACCCAAGAAACCCAGCAGAAAAAGATGAGAGCTTTATGTGTGTAAACACAAACTCAGCAGCCGACTAAAATGGGAGAATAAAGAAAGAACAGAAAATTAGGCTAATAATGAAACTCCAAACTCTCTTTTTTTTTGTCCATGACATTTGTTCTCTCAGGAAAAGTCTTTTGTGATAAAAAAATAATGATTTTAATTGGAATGTGAAAGATTGGATATTACTGATTCTCCATCTCTGTTCATCGCTGACTTACTGACTTTTCTTCATAAGACCTCGAGTCTACACTATCACCACTAGCATACAGTTAAGACTTAGACCAATTCTGTTCATCGTCCAATGTTTAAGTGATTATGGGCTTTCTATGGGAATCACTAAGCTATTAATAGGCTTTGCTTTGTCTACGGCCCGGCCCATTAGTGTATACTTAATGATAATAGTTGATTTTTATTAATTAAGCTCCAAACTTTTTATTAATTAATTTAATTTAATCCAAACTCGATAGTAATCCGCAGTACATAAACCCTTTCGAATTGACGTTCCTCTGCTGCAATCGGAGAAGAATCTAGGGTTTTTTTCTCTCAGATTTTTGGAGGTATATTCTTCTTCTTCGATTTCATTGTAATTTGATTTTATCCAAGCTTTAATGATTGTAGAATCGCTGCTATTTACAGCTACGTCGAACGATTCATAAGTTTGTGTGAAGAGGATCACTTCGTTGCTTCTATCCGAGTCTTCGTTTCTCTGTGTTTGGGTTAAGAGTTTTGTGTATTGTATATCCGCCGCTCGTTAATCGGGGGGAGAGATGGAAACCGACTCGCGTTCACATAATTTTCTTCTCAAGGTATTGTCTGTGTGTGCTCCTTATACTAATCCTGATTCATTATACTAGCAATGCTTTTGTTTCATGACTCTTTAATTCATTATTATCTTGGAGAATGCATTGTGATGTAGTCATTTTTTTTAATTTTTTTTTTGGTAGAGGCTTGCCTCTGTTGGGGTCCCTAAACACTGCCGTTCCAAACGTGGCCTAGTGGAATTCGTTAGAGCTAACCGTTCCAGGATCTCTGAGATTGTCTCTACTCTCTTACCTACAGATGAGGATGTTCAAGTTGGATTGAAGGGAACTAGGGAACGGTCTCGTAAGTCTGTGGTGAGTCCTACCATGAAAAAGAGGTTCAGGGAGAGCATGAGTTGGCTGCAGTGGTTGATGTTCCAGGATGAACCTAGTGTTTCTTTGAAGAATCTGGCAGAACTGAATGTTGATCAGCGAGCTGTCTGTGGCTCCGTCTGGGGAGCAGATGATATAGCATATCGGTGTAGGACGTGCGAGAATGACTCGACTTGTGCAATCTGCGTGCCTTGTTTCGAGAATGGTGATCACAGCACCCACGATTATTCGATCATCAACACAAACGGTGGCTGTTGTGATTGCGGGGATGATTCAGCTTGGAAACAAGGCGGTTTCTGTTCAAATCATAAAGGTTCGGGACAGATTCAACCCCTCTCAGAGAATCTAGCAGAGTCAGTTGGGCCTGTACTTGATGCCCTTTTTGCTTGTTGGAGTAGCAAGCTCTTATCGGCAGAAAGTATTCGTAAGAAAGATGCTAGATCCAACGATACTCTTGCAGCACGTCAAAAGATGTCAAACGAGCTGACATTCGCAGTGGTTGAAATGCTTCTGAAATTTTATAAGTCCAGTGAGAGTTTGCTAAGTTTCGTTTCTAGAAGGATTATCGCTTCAAATGGTCTATTGATGATTCTCGTAAAGGCTGAAAGGTTCTTGGACGAAGATGTTATGAAGAAACTTCACGACTTGTTCCTCAACTTGATAGGAGATCCAGTCTTTAAGTCGGAATTTGCAAAAGCACTTGTGAGTTACTATCCACTTGTCATTAGTGAAGCGATTAAGAAGGCGGTTAAGAAGGGTGATGATGATGCATTCTTGAGATATCCACTACTGTCTACTTTTTCTGTGCAAATCTTCACGGTGCCAACTCTAACACCATTTCTGGTGAAGGAGATGAATCTGCTAGCAATGCTTTTGGGATGCCTCAGTGATATCTTTCTTTCTTGTTGTGGGGAGGATGGTGTGCTACAGGTAACCTAGCTTCGTTTCTCATTTATTTGGTATAATGTGACTTTTATTCACTAATGTGTTCTTAGTAAAATGTAATTGACAGTTTTCTTTTGTAGGCTACAAAATGGGAACGGTTGTGTGAGACAAGTGACCGTGTCATTTTTGACTTGAAATTTGTTACGAGCCATGCTGTAGTTTGGAAGTACGCAACACATGAACATCGGGAGTTAGCAAGATCATGGTTGACACTCTTGACCTTTGCTCAAGGAATGGGTCCTCTGAAAAGAGAGACTGGAATCCATATTGAAGAAGAAAATGAGTACCATTTGTTCTTTAGTTTGAGTCACTCAATAGCTGGTATTCACTTTCTGTTGGTTAATGGTACATATTCTCCTGCCAGTGATGAACAAATAGAAAATGAGAGAACCGCCAAGGCTAGACTAGAGAATGGTGATGGAGATGGAGAAAGGTATGCAAAAGTTGGGAAATTGTCTCATGAAGATTCCGTATGTACTGCTATGATAAGTAGCAGCTTCTTTGATAGCTCAATGGCTTCTGAAGTCCACGAAATTGACGCTTTCCGTGCCCAGATTCCTTCTTCTGCCATATGGTTGATACGCGAGTGTTTGAAAGTTCTGGAGACATGCTTAGGGAAAGATCCGAGTACTAGAAGTGCATCAGGAGTACATATACTTGGTTTGTCTGATTGGCCCGACATCCACTACGATGTGAGCTTTCAGGCCATATCAGTCCATCTGCCGTTACACCGGTTACTTTCTTTGCTCATAGAAAAAGCATTAAGGAGGTGTTATGGAAAATCTGCACTGCACCATGGAGTCAATGTTAGTCGTGAGATCCCACAGGCCGCCGACTTATTCAGCTATGTGTTAGGAGATTTCCATCCTTGTGGATTTTCTGCATTTGTTATGGAGCATGTTCTCCGGGTAAGGGTGTTTTGCGCCCAAGTTACTGCTGGAATGTGGAAGAAGAATGGGGATTCTGCATTAGTATCTTGTGAGTGGTATCGGTCAGTTCGTCGGTATGTGAAATAATATTTTTGTTGTCATGAATTCTTGTAGTCCATTGTTTACTCGCATGTTTCTCATTCGACTTTTTTCCATTTACAGGTCAGAACAGGGACTTGAGCTTGATCTATTTCTCATGCAATGTTGTGGTGCGCTGGCTCCTGCAGATTCTTATGTTAATAAGCTTCTCAGCCGATTTGGACTCTCGAGCTATCTTTCACTAGACCCCGATATAACAAATGAGTATGTAACTATTTTTCTATTACCATTAACTGATCTCAGTACATGGTTTAATAGCTCTGCAACATTCAGACTGTCAAGTTATCTCCTACAGTATGATTGTCTCTTCATTTGATAAATGGTCTTTAAAGTAGAACAAACACATTATCTTTAGTTATTTATTGCTAGATGGTCAAGTCAAAATGACTCTCTTGCATCTAAAGCTTTTACTATTGCCTGATCTTGACATGATTTTTACCATATTTCTTTTTCAGGTATGAACCAGTTTTGGTCCAAGAAATGCTTGCTCTTCTGATACAGATTCTGCAAGAAAGGCGGTTTTGTGGTCTTTCTACTGCTGAAAGTTTGAGAAGAGAGATCATCGTCAAGTTGGCTACTGGAGATTTCACTCGTAGTCAATTGGTCAAATCTTTACCCCGTGACCTGTCCAAGTCGGATGAGCTCCAAGAGGTCTTAGATAACGTTTCAGTCTACTGTAATCCATCCGGCATGAACCAGGTCTTGATCTAAACCCATATGCTGCCTCACCTTTAAGTTGTCATGCTTTGTAAAAAGAAATTGACATTAGTTCTTTGGCAGGGAAAGTATTCACTACGGTCATCTTGCTGGAAGGAATTGGATCTCTATCACCCTCGTTGGCATTCAAGAGAATTGCAATCTGCACAGGAAAGATTTTCTCGCTATTGTGGAGTGTCTGCGTTGACCACTCAGGTTCCTAGGTGGAAAATGATCTATCCTCCTCTAAAGGGGCTTTCTAGAATAGGAACTTGCAAAGCCACTTTTCAAATCATTTCCTCTGCTTTATACTACGCTCTACAAAGTGGTACCTCTGTTAAATCACGTGCTCCAGATGGCGTTCTCATAACGGCTTTGCACTTACTCTCGCTATCATTGGATATATGCACTCAGCAAAGGGAATCTAATATTCAGGCTTGTTGCGTAGAAGATTCAATTCCGATTCTCGAGTTAGCTGGTCAGGAAATAATGGGTATAAACCAAGGGGCAGGAAAAGAAAGTTTGTTGTCTCTTCTTGCTTCATTAATGAGGACTCGTAAAGACGATTTTCCAGAGGAAGGCAGCTGTAATATTTCGTCCTGGATTGGAAAATTGTTGAAGAAGTTCGGTGCAATTGATTCTGTCTGTATGAACCTATTGCAAAGTCTTGCCCCGGAGGTGGTCGGTCAATCTGGATTTGATAAAGTCACATCAGGCGCTGCTTCTGATGAGAAACGCAAGGCTAAAGCTAGAGAGAGGCAGGCTGCTATTCTGGTAAAAAAATATTTCGAATTTCAATTCTATTTTCTCCTGGTGTTTTATCAACAAAAAGCATGCAGGTCGTAGACATACATTCCTCCGTAATAATAGAATATTCATTTTAAATATGACGGCCAAATAGTTTAAATGTCCATTGTTCACTTGTTATCTACAGTAAGAATCGACTAGATCCAGGAAATGATAGTTATGGTTATTCTAACTTTGATGCAGGCTAAAATGAAAGCTGAACAGACAAAATTCTTGTCTACCTTGAGTTCCAGCATGGATGATGATGATCCAAGATCTGAAACTGAAACAAGTGATTACGTAATGGAACATGATTCAGAAATTGCTGTTCGTGAAGTTTGCTCCCTTTGCCATGACCCAGATTCCAAAGACCCGGTTTCTTTCTTGATTTTTCTTCAGGTTGGTAGCATAGATAGATTATGCTGTTACGTGTGACTTTTAATGTTAAATAAACATAAACTACTAGGAGGTTTTGTTTTGAATCATTCTTAATTATCTCTGTTTTGCCTGCAGAAATCTAAACTTTTGAGTTTTGTGGATAGAGGCCCTCCATCTTGGGATCAAGGTCCACAGTCAGAAAAGAATATCTCCGTTGATGGAGTTCGCGATGTCCTGAGAAGTAATGTTTCCTCAGATAGTTTAATGATTCCTCAGGATGCAACCTCTGAGCCTGCTGCAAATTCCGTGTTTGAAGCTTTAACAACCCGACTTATAAGGAATGGTCAGATGGAGAAGAGGTCTAGCGAAGGGAGGGGAAAAGATGACTCTAACATGGAATCAATGGAGATAGCTATGTATCAAACTGTTCGCAGGAAGATTGATAACATTAGAAATCAAAGCCTTGCACATGTAGATCAACGACCGCATGCTACTGAAAGTAGTTTGGAGAGAAATCCTGTTGGTGGTCTATCTACTTTGCAACCTAGAGTTCCTGACATTCGATCAAGACAAACCTCTAGGCATTCGGATGTTAGTTCAGATGGGTTTCACCCTACTGACTGTGATGGGGTTTATCTTTCATCATGTGGACATGCTGTGCATCAAAGCTGTCTTGAACGATATTTAAAGTCGTTAAAGGAAAGGTGAGCCATGTTTGAATTCTTAGTAGTCATAGGTTAGAAACAAAAAAATAATATATCATCTTGTAGATAGGTGAACCCTTTCTCGTCCATGTTGATATCTCCTTCCGACATGTTGTGCATAATTAAATTATTAATTTTGACTCCCTGATTTGCAGATAATAACACTGCATTTATAAGTGTCCTTCTTTTGTTTGGATGTGTAGGTCTGACAGAAGAGATGTCTTTGAAGGTGCACATATTGTGAATCTAAAACAGGTACGCGACCAATTTAAAGATATTTTCTGGGGCTTTAATCTGTTCCTTCTGAAGCTTCAGTATTGTTTCTTCTGTCAGGGAGAATTTCTCTGTCCTGCATGCCGGGGGCTAGCTAATTCTGTATTGCCTGCATGTCCCGGAGATTTGTGTTCTGTTTCAAGGATACATGAAAGTTCGAATGATAAGTTAGGTAAATCAGACGCTCAGATGCCTTCCCTTTGGCTCTCTGAAGCGTTGTGTCTACTACGATCTGCGGCTGACGTGATCGAAGATGGTGATAGCGTTAGAACAGTTTCTCTGGGGGGAGATGAACCAAGAAGGAAAGATCTTGAATCTGTCTCTAACAAGCTCTGGAATTTCTATTTCTCTAAGCGACAGGAAAATTTTCCGGGAAGTCCTTGGCTATCACAATCAATCGTAATGTGGGACACCCTTAAGTACTCTCTTATTTCAATGGAAATTATTACTCGCTCTGAGAAGAATTCAATGCCTTCTGTCTATTGTATTGACTCCTTGTATGAAGAGTTAAATACCTCAAATGGAACTGCTTTGTCACTCTTATTGCGAGTGGTACAGAGCACCCGAACAAAGAATGCTTTACATGTTTGTCAGAGATCTATGGGCATGAAGCATCTTGCAGAGTCTATATGCTCTGGAATTTCAAGTAGTCCTTCGAGCTGCATTTTTGGAAGTGAAGGTACTTTTTCTCCAATTCTGAAAGAGAATCAATTATATAGTCCCCATCTATAGTAGTTGGGATTCATGGGATCAGTTTTAGTCTATTTAACTGTTATCAGTGAATTAGTTGCTAACCATAGATGGTGTTTCTTGATAATATCTGAGAAGAGTTTTGCCATCTTTTCTTGCACAGCAGGTTCATTGAAGAATATAAACCTGCTCTGGAATCGAGCATCTGATCCAATTATTTCCCATGACCCGTTTTCATCACTGATGTGGGCTCTTTTTTGTCTCCCATCACCTTTTATCACATGCGAGGAATCTCTGTTATCACTTGTGCATATTTTCCACAGTGTGTCTCTTGTTCAGGTATGCCATATTTTGTGTTGACTAGTTTTGCCTCTAAAGACTCACTTTTCCAAATCATGTTTTGTCTTTGGTGCAGACTGTAATTGTCTATTGTGCAGGTCGCATGTTTAACTTGAGTAAATTAGATTTCGAGGAAAAAAACCTGCTTAGCGACATCTCCATCGCTTTGAGAGAATCAGATGGTTGGGAGTATTTCAGGTCTAACAATATGGATTTATCATGTGATATAAAAGAGACAATCCGTAAATATAGTCTTCCTTTCTTGAGGAGATGTGCATTGCTGTGGAGGCTACTGAAAACTACTTCTGGAAAGTCTCATGAAGAGGTAGATAGATTTGATGTGCCATCTGACTCTGCCACGGACAATATGGATTTCATGCATAGTCCCCAGTCGGAGCTGAATCATGTGAATGAATTGGAGAAAATGTTCAAAATTCCGCATATTGAAACCATTCTCAGTGATGAACTTCTCCGGTCTTCAACACAAACATGGCTTCGACATTTTCTTAAGGAATACAAAGTTAACAGAGTTAGAGGGCCTCTTTGCATAACACCTGTAGTTCCTTTCCAGCTTATGAAGTTACCCAATTTATACCAGGACCTATTGCAGAGGTTTGCAGCAGCACCTATTTCTGTGGTTTTTGCACATTTTTCTCCCCATTCAAAGAGAACATTCTTTAGTCAAGAAGCATGTTTTTCTTATTAGGTTTATCAGGAGACCTTGCAGCAACTGCAAGAAAGTTATCGAAGAACCTGCATTATGTCTTCTTTGTGGAAGACTGTGTTCTCCCATAATGCTACCTTGTTGCAGGTATTTGCTTTTAGTTTTCACTAGTTTCCAAATGTCATAGTTATTGATTTTGGAACCCAAATAAATACTTTGCAACATACTTTTACAGTGAAAGTGGTTGTCAGACTCATGCAGTCACATGTGGTGGTGGTACTGGTGTATATCTGCTCATACGGGTATGGTTTTTTAATAGATAGAAGTTTCCTTTACTCTCCTACTATGTTAATGGTCTTTTAATTGAATATTACTGGTCTTTATTAATCAATAGCGGACCACAATTTTGATACAAAGATTTGCAAGACAATCACATTGGCCATCTCTTTACTTGGATACGTTTGGAGAAGAGGTATATGATCTTGTTGACTCAGATGTTCGTGTGGGCTAAGGATACGGATTGATTCTTTGTTTTATTTGTTTGGGTTTTTGTTGCAGGATACAAATATGTTCAGAGGAAAACGACTATACCTTAATGAAGAACGTTATGCTGCATTAACATACATGGTGAGTAAATTATTTTGCGTGTGTCAACAATGACTGAATCAGTAGGACAGAGTTTGTATGGATGGTAATATCATCTTTATATTCTTATGTCAGGTTGGTTCTCATGGACTCGATCACACCTCTGAAGTTGTCAATGAAACCACCATCGAAACTTTCTTTACTTGAAAAGGTTTTTGCTGTCTCCTTGTTTCTTAGATGTTGTTCTCTGATCCCAAAGATTCGTCTACAATTTAGAATATGCTCAAAATAACATTCTTTGTTTCGTGGTGCCGTTGCATGTGTTTTAGCTAATACTAAATTTTCAAATATATATGAAAGCAACGAGAGTTTAAACCGCATTGTGATAAAACAGCCGGTTATCTGTAAACCAAACTGCAAACCGTAGATGGTTAGCGTTTGAAACAAATGCGCGATTGCAAAGAACGTTGTCGTAGGCCCATTAGTAAGCCCTTTTTTTAAAAAAAAGAGTAGAAGATAGCAATTTCAAACAAACTTTTGACCAAAAAAAAAAAGAAGCAATTTCAAACAAACTCAAATTTTGAAAACAATCATTTTCCCACTCTCTCTCTCTCTCCATCACAACACAGAGATATGGATTCGAAAACAACTCCAGTGAAACCCAAAGCTTCGGATTCTCCTTCGATCTCGAAGGTTAGGGTCGTCGTTAGGGTTCGTCCGTTTCTTCCCCCAGAGATCTCCGACGTCCGATCGTGTGTTTCCGGAATCGACGGCGATGGTAGAGATTCCAGCGACGTGGCGGTTTACCTCAAAGATCCCGATAGCTGGTAAGCGTCTTCGATATTCGATTGAAGTCTTCAATTAACGAAACTCGATTATTGATTTGGTGATTCGTCTTTGTTTTTCGGAGCAGTCGCAACGAATGCTATCAGCTGGATGCGTTTTACGGGGATGGTGATGATGAGAACGTGAAGCAGATCTTTGATAGAGAAGTATACTCTTTGATTCCTGGCCTTTTCCATGGTTTCAACGCTACTGTGCTTGCTTATGGTGCCACTGGAAGCGGTAAAACGTTTACGATGCAGGTCCGTTTGCTATATAATCATCTCCTTTGATTTTGGATTTCAGATTTTAGGGTTTATTTGGTTACTTTAGATTAGCTTCCTCTTGTGAGATTTTTGTTATGTTGACAGCATAGCTCTTTCTCAAAACTGTTTTGGGTTTACTGTAAACTGCTTCCTTCTAATAGTGCTTTGAACTCTTTTTTCTATTCAAATGTCTCAGGGAACTGATGATCTGCCTGGACTGATGCAACTGACCATGTCCACCATTCTTTCTCTATGTGAGAAGACAGGAAGTAGAGCAAGCATTTCATATTATGAAGTTTACATGGATAAATGTTGGGATCTCCTTGAAGTCAAAGACAACGAGATTTCTGTTTGGGACGATAAGGATGGACAAGTTCATCTTAAGGGACTCTCTAGTATCCCAGTAGGCTCCATGTCTGAGTTTCACCAGGTGTACTCATGTGGCCTTCAGCGGAGGAAAGTTGCGCACACTGGTTTAAATGATGTCTCTAGTAGAAGCCATGGAGTGCTTGTCATCTCAGTAATCTCAGAAGGGGCTGTCACTGGGAAAATCAATCTGATTGATCTGGCTGGTAATTTTTTTTTATCATTTTCCGAGTATTTAGTTGTATAGTCAAACTATAGAAGCCTCTCTATACTTTGTTTATCTTCAGTATATTAGCAACTATTTCATGGCTTAAACAGGTAGCGAAGACAATAGAAGGACAGGAAATGAAGGAATCCGTCTAGAAGAGAGTGCCAAGATTAACCAGTCACTATTTTCATTGTCCAATGTGGTTTATGCACTGAATAATAACCTCCCAAGAGTGCCTTACAGGGAGAGCAAGCTGACTAGAATATTGCAGGATTCACTTGGAGGAACAAGTAGAGCTCTCATGGTCGCATGTCTGGTACGAAGATTTGTTGCTGTTCAGTGGAATCCATTGCTTTTATCAGGACATATTTATAAGTGGCTAATGTGATGAATCTGTTTTGTTTGTTTTTGTTTCTTTAGAATCCGGGAGAATACCAAGAATCTGTTCGTACTGTTAGCTTGGCTGCAAGGTCAAGGCACATCTCGAACAATGTATCTTTGAATCCCAAGGTAGAGACCCCCAAGGTTAAAATTGATATGGAAGCAAAACTGCAAGCTTGGCTGGAATCCAAAGGGAAGACGAAAAGCGGCCATAGAATGATGGCAATACGTTCTCCACTGATTGGTACAAATCAACCTTCATTTTCTCAAAGCTCAGTCAAGAAACTGGACTGTCATAAATCATCCATTGCAAAAAGTGCTAAACTTACTGGCACAGGACAGAGGTAACCCTTTGAACGATTGTGTTCTCAATGTTCCACATCCTATAACTTCTTGCTCACAGCATATCCATATACAGGGACACATTTGTGGCTGCCAGGAACTTATTTGGTGGGGAAACTCTTGCTGCTTCACATTTATGCGTATGTTATTTTGCTTTCAGTGTGAAATAACATCGATATAACCTGCAAGTGTTGATGGATTACTTTAAAGCTTTACTCAAGTAACTGAGTTTTTTGAATAATGCAGGAACCAATTCAGAATCTGCACATAGCTTCTCCATCCAAAGAAGATGAAAGAGACGCATCTGGCGAGGAGCGTCTGCTGGTATCTGAACTCAGTCCTGTTCGAGAAGCTTTATCTCCGATAACCTCAAATGCGAATGGGTTCTCTACCATTCTCAAGCCAATGACCCCTAAAACACCTATGATTTCTGCAAACGCTGAGAATATGCAGATGAGTGGCACATGCCAGAAGTTCAATGCTTGGAGCACTAATGTGAAGGTTCGAATCAACATTTTTCAAAACATGTGCTATTCTCTTTGACAAAAACTAGAGATCTGATTCTTTTTGCAACTTTTATTTTCACAGACTTCTCTTCTAAGAGAGTATATTCACTTCTTGAATACAGCAAACAGGTAAGAATAATCTCCATTCTCCGCTTCATCTGCTTGACTTAGACTCTTCGGAACTATTAGGATAACACATGAACTAACTTTCATCGTTTATCTATTTTTTTTTTGTAATACACAGAGAAGAGCTAATGGAGTTGAAGGTAAAAATCTACATATGATTAAACTCCAAATAGTCATAATAAATTCACAAAATCTATATGCTTCCGTAGTCAAATATTTGGTTAAACTTCACATGACTCTGTTTCATATCTTTCTTTTGTTTAAAAGGGAATTGGACAGAAGATGGCTGAGTACATCGTTGAACTCAGAGAAACAAGTCCTCTAAAATCGGTATTTACATACTCTTCTTCCTCGGAACTTTGCGCCTGAGAGCTAAACTTAAACTCTCATTCATCTACTGACCAACTATTTTTAATATTCAACAGCTTGCTGACTTGGAAAAGCTCGGTTTCACCTCAAGACAAGTACATAACTTGTTCAAAAGAGCCACACAAGGGATTCTTGAGAAGCCAGTTTCTGCTACAACAACACCTTAGTTGTTTTTGTCTCTATCAAACAACAACACTTGGGTTGGTTTCTTTAAGAACTTGTGTCGGAGTAGTTTTTTTTAATGATTGTCTGTTGTCTGCCTAAGCTTTTGACAAGAGAGACATGGGTTGATCTTATGCTGTGTACTGAGTAAGAATCTTTAAATATCTTAATGAAACTAAAGACTCAGGACCCATAATAGTTTTGGCTTATATATAGTCACAGAGATAAAGCTTACAGAGATGTCTCATGACCAAACCATAAAACAAACACACACAGAAAAACAAGACTCACTGTCGCCGGCAAAACAACCGGAGAAATCAGCCATTATTACACATAACATAACGGTTTATTGCAAGACTCTTAGGGGTTTATGTGGTTCTTCATTTGCAGGTGCAAGGGTTGCACTTGCAGTCAGATCCGCATTTGCAGGCATCGTTCTCGGCGACGAAAGTCTCACCGGAAGCCTCGAACTGAGAGTTCATGGACGGAGCAACGCCGAGGACAAGAGTCTCGGTGGTGGTGGTCTCGCCGGAGAAGCTCAAGTCTGGGTACATTTTGCAACTGCACAAAGCCAAAACATCAAAATTAATAAGGTTTATCTCCAAATTCAATATGAAAAAAACACCATTAGAGTAACACAGAGAAAGCTGCGTGAGAACTAAGATTTTACCCTCCGCAACCAACGCACTTGCAGCCAGATCCGCAACCACAGTTTCCTCCACAGCAAGACATGTTCTCTAGTAAAATTAGGAAGAAGATTTTAATTTGCCTTGAAGAAGAAGGTTTTTAAACAATTAGTGAATGAAATTAAATCTCGGAGTCGTCTCCATTTTTATAGGCTCATGAGCAAGTTTAAACCGTCCACTTGTCACCATCTTGTTCCACTCTTATCCCACCTAAATAAAAGTTCCATACACATACGTAATTACAGTTTTGGGAATGGAGTTGATTTGCACACAAAACACACTACTAAAAATAATCAGTAAAGACAAAATTTCTAAATTCTTTACTACAAAAGTCCAAAAAATAATATTATGGGATAACTATGTATTTATCATTAATTATGTGGTGGTTAGTATAATGGTTTTGTCTTGTTCACTAGCTCAGGATTTTGGGACCAGTTTAGATTAGATTACTTTGGTTGATCCAATTTGAAACAAAAAAAGATAGTATCTAAAACAAGATGTTGCAGAAGGAAAGTTGGTTCAAAAGTTTGCCTTGGGAGACATAAGTCAAATTGAAGTGAAAGTTCTTAAAAACACGATGAAGCCAACATGCTTGAAGGGTGGGTCCATTATCGACCTTGTCCGTTGTATGTGGGTATTCGATTCGAATCTCTCTTTTGGAAACACTTTTTCAAAATTTCGATCTGTGTGAAGTTAGGAGAACCATCCATATGGGAATATTGCAGCGTCGATAAAGTCTATAATCCCTGCAAAAAGTTAAAAGAGTGTTTTTGTATGAAAATAGTATGTACGTGAAGACCTAAATCTATTGTAGTTTAGTCTCGAGAAACTCGTAAACCATATATGAAACTGGAACTACAATTCTAAGTTAGTAGAAAAAAAAATTATCAAAGATTAAGATGAATAATATTTGTATTTGGGGAGTATATAGATAAAGACAAAAAAATAAAAAAATATATGCAAGCTGTTGATTTTCTTGTAGGAATTGTTAAAAGAAATTCAAAAGTTACAAAAAACATCGCCCACCGTGGGGCTCGAACCCACGACCACAAGGTTAAGAGCCTTGCGCTCTACCAACTGAGCTAGACGGGCTTTTATTATTCATTGTATCTATACTAATTTGATTCTGCATTTTAAAATATTACATACAAACACTATGTGTTCTCTTTTATGTATCTTAAACTCCAAGCAAAAGAACAACAACAACAACAACCCAAAAAGAATAGAAAAAGATGAATGAAATGATTCAAAGTTCTTAACCGGATACAAGCAGTTCTTCAAGAAGCTCCTCAAAGATCAAATCCTCAACTTCAATCCCAACACACTCACTCTCAAACTGCAAATCCATCCACCCATCATCTCTCCTCAAATCCCTACTCATAATCTCATCAAACGACTGCTCCTCATGTGGCTTGTAACGCAAGTAACAACTTATTCTAACCCAAACATCTTTCAAAACACTATACCCCACTTGCATTGGATGGATTCTACATAGGGGTGACAATGCCTTGGGACAGTAATGGTAAGACCTTTCGTAGATTTCGATTAGTACTTCATTGATTAGATCAAAGAGAAGCAAGTGGTTGCAGTTACTGCCTTCTTCTGCTTCTTCTTCATCGTTTCTTGAACATTCAGAATCTCGGATCATACCTCCTGCTATTGCTGTTATTGTTGTGGTCATTTCTTCGTAGACTAATGGATCTAGTGGCTGGTAATCAGATTGCCACATTGAGAGTGATTCAGGTGCGTTGAAACCAGAGATCTCGAGAATGTCTCTTACATAGTTGAATTTAACTTTATCTTGTGCTTCTATCTGAAGGTATTCGTCTATGTCTGCTGCTGTTATGCTTTCTAACTGTTTGCTTGTTGCACAAGTCTCTACATCAGGATCCTGTTGTACCTCCAAATCTGCAACAACAACATAAAAGGAAAGATTGTCATTGTCAAAACAAGAGACAAGAGGAAGGTGACTTGATGCTGAAGATACCACGTGGGATGTGAGACTCAGAAGCATAATCATCAAAAGTAGGATAGTCTCCTGATTCATACAAAGATTGATGTTCAACATCAAGAGTAGAGGTTTCTCTGTCTTGTTCTGTCTCAACCATCCTAGTATTTTCTGCGTCAGAAGACAGATCATCATGTTCTGAAGACAGAAAGTGATCGTCTGAGATCTCTGAAATGTCGTCCAGACCATCTTGTTCTTGCTCCATTGATCTACTTGAAGTTTCGAAATGGCCAGGAAGATCCTCAGTCTTCAAAGCATAAGGAGACTTCGTTTCAGGCATTGAAAGAATCCTTCCCAAGAATTTAGGAACTATCTTACAAGACAACGCTGATGGTTCCTCAGACTTTGAACTAGTACTGTTGCTCTTTTGGAAGCTCTTTTCATACAGCTGAAGATATCTATCAACCGATCCACACAGAGACGATGTCCTTCTTATTTCCTTCGGTTTAGCGCCTTCCTTCTTAGTAGAAGCAGAACAGTGAGGCAAGATGTCTTGTCTCAAATCTTTTGAAAATCCATACTTTCTAGGTACTTTGTCTAAAACAGCATCCATAGTGATACGGTGCTTCTCGCTCTTGTTCTCGTTAATGACATGCTTTATCTTCTGTCTTAGATCCTTGAAACGTTTGATCACCACTTGGTGGTTCTTTCCTCTCTTCCTCGTGTAACCAGAACCAGATGAATCCTCTTCATCAGCAAATCTCTCCACTGATTCATTTAACTTCTGTGTAACATCTTTTGTGTGCTCTACAGCTATGTAAGGAGATGTGGGTGCGTTACTTTTATCCTCTCTATTGCTACCATGATGAGTAGGGAAAGATCCGGCTCTAGTCATGGTTTTAGAGCTAAAAGATTGTTCTCTCTGGAAATGCTTAGCTAGAGGAGAACCAGGATCCTGCAAAACTTTCAACAAGAAGTTTCTATTCATGTGTATCAGATTGAGAGCATCAAGACATGCTTTTGACTGTCTAGGTGATGATGTATCATCCTCATTCTCAGAGACTTCCTTAGTATCATGTCTCAGCTTTGGATCAAACCAAGCTTCCTCCTTCTTCTTGGAATCACTTTTATCATCAACTTGGATGTTGGTGTTCTCTAACTTAAACTCTTCGCTGTCACTGTAACTTGATTCCTCGGACATGAGATAAAGCGGGTTCAACGAACCAATGGAGGATGAAATGGCAATAGCCTTGTTCCCGTTTGAGGAATCCTTATCAGAAGAGTCTAGTTCACTCAGTGACTCCTTCTCCTTTGGGTTTGATTGGACAGGATAAGTGGAGCTTCTGTGGTGACGACCTTTTTTCTTAGACTTGTCCTCTGCCACAAGTGACTTAATCAAAGCTTTCACAGACCTTTTTATCTCAGAATGTGTTCTTCTCCGTTTCTCTTCTGAGTTGAGATTCTTGGACTTGTCCTCTGAGTTATGCTGCTTTTTGGGTTTCTCCCTTGAGTTAGACTCCTCTTTAGACTTTACTGCAGAAGAAGTAGGCTTCTTTGGTCTTTTCACAGATCCCTGAAGCAATGAAGCCAATAGGTGAGAAGCTGCGTTTATGGTTCAAGTAAATTATATGCATTGTTATTGAAGTTTTTTATCGACTTACTACATTTGATTTGTCATCCACCTTGCTCTTAGATACGGATATACCATCTGGTGATGTAAGTGTGTTATTTACTTCGTTTTTTGTTCCTAATAGCAGAAAACATGCATGGGAAATGTTAAAGATATAACATTATCATTAGTTTCAAATGCTCTTGAGGTTATAAAACTAATATAGCCCATAGGAACTGAGAACAGGAAACAGAACCATGACGTGATCTAAAAGTAAGACCAAAAGACTAAGCTAAGACATTTCTAAAGGCGCGAGAAAACGAGATGTGAGTATCAAGTTCCCTTACCAGCAGAAGCACTGCTTCGTCTAGCACCAGCAGGGTGGGGTCGTTTGTGAGGAAGACGTTTCTTGATGTAACGCCAATGATTATGCTTAAGAATGTCAAAAAGTCCCCACATGAATCCAGGATGGTTCTGTATTGGGGAGCATGTCACTTTCTGACGCAAGTTCTTCCCCATTTGTTTGAGTTCTGATCTTTCTCTTAAAAATATTAACTCAATCCAGGGAGGCTACCAAAATTTTATCAAACCTGTGAAAGCAAAAAAGTTCCAAACATAAACCATACAACGCATCAAAATGTAAATCCGTCCAAGGTCATCAAAGGGGGATCCCAAATGAAATGAAACTCTCAAATGTAATCACATACGCAGAAAAAGAAAGAAAAAAAACAGATACAAAATGGAGTTTATATCTTATAAATCAAGATCCGAGACGATGATCCGAATCAGATTATGACAAACAAATATCGGATTTTCCAAAGGCGTTTCGAAGAATCACATAATTAATAAATATAAATGAGAAAACGGGGTTAAGGTCGTTACCTTGTAGATATGAATGTCTTTATGATTTGTGAGGAACATCTTCTCGGTCGTCATTACCATGGCGGGAGAGACAGACACAAAGAGAGGAGAGAGAGACAAATTAAAACGTAAGAGACAAGAGACAGACAGAGACCGGAAGCGTGCGTAACATGAACTTTGAGAATTTTGCCGTTTTGGTTTATTTACATTTTATATATTATTTAAATAAATAAACATATAACCCCTATCATATACTATTGGCCCATTAAGGTTTATGGCCTTTACAGCAGCAACTGAATATATAATGAGAGTAAGGTCAGACGTTTGAACAATCAAAGCTGAAACTGTTAACTTACTTTTAAAAGATTTGACACAAAAGAGATACAAAGCCATTTCATATTCAGAACTGAAATGATGTTTTTACAACTAACAATGTATCATAAATACACCAGTTTCTAAGGATCCTAACTGTAGTACCATCAAACATAGCATAAACACCTTTCTATCCAACTACCAAATAAACCTCTGAACACCATCCTCATGGCTCCACTTGAATGTTCTAAACAAGAACATTCCCATTGTAAACACATTGACACATACAAATATCGTTCCGGTGAGAAGCCAAGTGGCGCAACCGCTGTTTCTGACACTCGAGTGAAGCATGAAGATATAAAACGGAATGGTGTAATATCTGAACTCTATCAATGGTGTGGGAACAAGAACTGCACATGTTGCTAAGAAATATACCAACACCCAGATCTTCCTTTGAGTTTTTGCTGTCGGATTTAGAAACAGCCAAAGTCAAATTCTCAATGCAAGGAAACAAAAAATAATGCTACACAAAAATGGTTTAAACATACCTAGTAAAGTTAGAATTGAGAACCAGGAATAGATGTAAACCGGGACTAACATGTACTTCATCAACCAATGTGCGTTGATAATTTTCCTCCACAGATAGAAAGGATAATGGCGATTATCAGCTAGAAGATAAGGATGAGCCAAGCTGCAAATAGGTTTCAGACACAAAAGAAAAAGAAAACAGAGAGTGAGAGTTTGTAGTGGAAGACCTTAAGGTGTTTCTAGAGGTGTCAAGAAACTGAACCTGAAAAAGTGTACAGAGGCTAAACCGGCTATTAGAGCTACAAGAGTTAGTAGAAGGTTCGATGGCCAATTTCCACGGAGCTCTTGGAGCATATTTTTCAGTTGACCTACTGAGAAGTGTAGGGGAGCTGTAAAAAGTGCAGAGACGAGACTAAAATACATTATCTGCGCAAAATGTGGTGAAACTACATGGGCCTCTTTTGCACCTGCCATTCAGAATTGATCGATTAGTGAAAGAAAACAACATAAAGATTCAGTCATAAATGACAAAAAGAAAAATCTCCACAGTCCATACCTAGGACTATACCACCGTTCCAGAGGATAAAAATGCCAAAGGCTACCATAACAACGATAAAAGGGCTAAATGTGACCAAAAGTTTCCACTTCATACTCCAAGATGTTGTGATTACATCATAAACATCATAGACTAAGCCTGCATTTGTTTCCATTAAACGATATGTAATAAGGAACATTCATGCTTATGTTTGAGAATAGCAATATAATTGTCTAACTATTAGCAACAAAACCTAAAGTATCCTCTGTTGAAGAAACAGATTTAGCACGGTCAACACGATCCAAGCTGCTATCCGGTTTTCGTTTTCTAAGATTTGATCTCAGAGCTGCTTCTTTCCGGTCAATGGCCTGATGATGCGAGTCTTGATCTACTTTTTGTTTTTGTTTTGGCCTCGGAGAGTCACGAGTGAAGTCTAAAACACCTGAGCAAGCAACGAACAGCATCCAGACTACATTTGTTTGTCTGATAAAAATTGCTAAAGCACCAAACTGCAAGGACAAAAAAACATAAATAAAATTTGCAAACGTATTTGTAATTCCAAAAAACAAAAAAGATAAATTGATTCAAATGACTTACCAAAGCACTGAGGGTATATCTTTTTCTCAAACAAGCGAGGTACATGGCAAGAAATGCGGTCAGAGACGCAACATCTGTATAGTAGAGGAAAGTGAAGAACCAGTGAAGAGGGTAAAGAGACATGACCAAAGCCATGAAAGTTGCTTTCCAATCACTAAGGTTCGGCCCCAAGAATCTGATAATCTCATACACTAGAACACCACACAATACTGCAAAAACAGCATTAGTAGACCGCAGAACAGACGTAGAACAAGCTTCTGAGAAGGACTGAGAAGTAGTTCCCATCAACAACATCCCTGGAAACAAAGAAGCAACATGTGCTAGTGAAAGATAGTACCTGCAACAACAACAAAAAAAAAACAAGTATTTAAATCAACATTTCCACTTCAAAAAGATTCAAACCTTACATTAATCTATAAAATTTCTCTGTATAGTAACAAGACAACTTGGCACTGAACACACACATTTTAAAATCAATACACTAAAAGGTAACTACTTGAGAAACAATATAAGAGAGTGAAGAGTATTACAATCCAGGAGGGGTAGTGATCATAGGATCCCAGCTTCTGAGATTCCCATTACAGTATTGCTGAGCCTGAGGCACATGGAATATCTCGTCCTGCCCCCAAAAAAAAAAAAAAAAATACACTCACATTCATCAGTAATCAATCAATACAGAATTATAGATAAAGGAGATTACTTTATGTTACCATGTATGGTTCTGGAACAATGTGGTTGACAATCATCAACATTGGAATCACCCACAAGCTCGTGATTGCTGCAACCGCTAACTTCCCCATTTTTCAGTTCTTTCTCCAGAAATTAAAATTAATCAGATCCCAAAAATCACCCAACAAAGTTAATTGAGTGGTTACATCTGAGGATCAATCATGGATCTTCGTGCTTGGAACGATCACGGCGAAATCGAATTGAGCGGTGAGATTTCGATTTTGATCGACGAGAGTGAAGAAGGAAGAGTCAATGAAAGTCAACGTTACTTAGATTTAATTGGGCTTTGTTAGTTCTATCGCTAAAAGCCCAAATAAGTATAAGGCCCTGAATCTGTTAAATGACATTTTTATTTGTTTATAGTTAGAGCACCCCCATCAAGGGTTGATGGGGGAGTTCACACGCAAACCGAGAAAAAAAATAATATTAAAATCAGATTTCTATGAACCTTTCTCTTAAAAGTTCACCGCGGTGAACCCCGATGACCCCGGTTCACCACGTGTCAACATATGATTGTTCCAATATTAATTTTTAAAAAAAAAAAAAAAAAAAGTAAACGGAAAAAAAGAAAATTACTTTTTTATTTGTATGAACCCCCTTGGGGGTTCATCAATGTGGGTGCTCTTATACCCTAAACGAAACTCCATAATTCATGTAAACAAAGCAGTACGCAGTATTAAAGTTTTAACATTACAAAATTGGGTAGCCATTATTAATAATTATTGGAGAGGAACAAGACTAAACATGTCCTACACAAATGGACAAGAAAGCTGTCTGGTGGCCTTGAGAATATACACTGAAAAGTGATTTTTATCAAAAGATGAGGGAATCCCAAATGAAAGCTTTTTAAGATTGAAAGCACTTAAGCAGAGTCTCTGACCCAGATCCCAAATCATTATCTTATTTAATACTATATATGTTTTGACTTTAATTTATATATATATATTAGTGCTTTTGAGTAAGATTCCATATTGATAAGCTAGCTGTTTATGTTTTGTTTACAAATGGAGAACTAGATTGACATACAATTAGCACTACAACATAATCATTGGTTCATATGGTAGACAAATTCTAAGAGATTTTTAAACTGTCAGAACTTTTTCTGTTTAGTTAGCTAATCAACAGATAAATGTAAAACTTGCATACCAATAACAACGATAACCAAACCGAAAAATATGAAACAACTTCAACTGATACGTTAAGAAAATACAGTGCATAACAGCTTGGAGATTATAACTTTGCTAAAGGGAGTGATTTCCTTAGTATCTTACTTAAATGATTATTTGATAAAGGGTGTTTAAAATTACTTGTTAATGTGTTATTGATGATGATCAGTAGGCGTGGGTAGAACCAAGTAAAAGAGATGGTCCCAAAATTTGCATGTGAGATTTGATTCAAAATATTTCTAGGCAGCATCGGGTGATGTCATAAAGTATCTCAGTTGTTTATCTCTCCATGTGTAAAAAGCACACCAGCTTTGCTATATAAAATGAGAGAAACCACCTTTTATAATTTTTATATATATGTTGAGAAATGGTGGTTGGGACATATCCGGAAATGGACCAGACCACATCAGTCTACTTCAGTCCCAAGACCAGGCGACAAGCACCTTGTCTCTATCCATACCAGGCGGCCAAGACTAGTCATTATCCTCCCTTGTGTTTATCCATATGTTGTAGTTATCCTAATCATTATAGGATTAGGATAATCATCCCCTTTATTGTTGTAATCCTTATCTCCTAAGGAATATGCTTTATTCTCTTGTATATATATGTATGTGCACGAGATTAATAACACACAACAGAGTTACAACAACCTTCTTTATTCCACAACACGTTATCAGCACGAGCTCTACCCTAGCACAAAAATCCGTAGCTCTCTCTCTCTCTTGGCGGCTGCAGAAAACCCTAATCCCTGCAGCAACTTCAAAACGCCGCATCTCTCTAACCACGAGGCT